TTTTCTTTCATATTCTAACTCTTTTTGTGCAGGAAGCCCAGTGCCTAACCTCAAGGCTGAAGATGCCACTGAGGAGGGTGGGGGGTGGGAGGGGTGGTCAGCAGCACCACTTCCTTTTGCACATATCTTAGAAGAACAAAATGAGGCTTGTTAGGTCCTAAACCTGCTAGAAGAGAGGCTTCCAGGTTATGCAAATAGCAGTGGCTGAACGAGCCTCCTGGCAGACCTGAGACATCTGAGTAAACTCTGGAGAGGAGCAGAATTTCCAGCATGCTTCCCCTGACACATCTCAGTGACTTCCCTTTGAGCATTTGGATTTTTTTAGATCTGTTTCTGGATGATCTAGAGGACTAGACATGGGCATGTGAAGTGTGAGAGTGAGTAGGTGCCTGAATTTAGCTGCTGTCTTCCAGAGCTGATGCTGTGAAATGGGAAAGTAGATAGTGAGAGGGTGGGACAACTGCATTTAAGCTCTTTTTCCATTAAAATGAGCTCCTTTGTCTCCCTGGTAGATGACTGTTAAGGCCTTTGCTCCTTACTCTACACTCCCATTCACTGAAAGAAATCCCTTTTTTTTTTTTTGAGCAATCCTGAAAAATCATCCATTTCTCACCTGCATTTCACTTGGATACCTTTCACTTGCAGTCAGACTCCGTCAGTGCTCCATGCATGGCATGGCTGCTCTGTTCATGCCACTCCTCACAGTAGTCTGTGGTCATCGGAGCAGAGGTGGTGCTCCAGGCTGCTCTGCTCAGGCAGAAAAAAGTCTCATTTCAGGCTCCAGTCTCAGTTTTCATTTAAAGCCAACAAAACTAGATGCTGGAAAGCATGTCATTGATACAGTTGTGAATGAAACCTTTCAAGGAGGAAAGCCTCCTTAAGAAACTCAGAGATGTCTGCTGGAGCTGAAACAATTGTGATGGAAATTGTCTGCACTGCCTGACTTGTGGCTTCATTTAGACCACTGTTGAGTGCCATGAGATCGATATCTGTTTTGAAGGAAAGACAATGCCACATCATGAAAATAAGCACAATGGTTTATTTTGTGATCACCTTCTCTGCTTTTCCCATGGGACTGAAGTTGTGGGATGGAGGACATGAGGGCAGGTGGAGCTGAAGGACATGTGAACCCCACTAAAGGTAGCAAGACCAAGCTGATGTGTAGGTTGTTGTGTAAGATGGCATAAACATCTTAAACCAGAAATGTTTGCAGAGGCCACTAATTTGCAGCTCCTGTGGTCTGGATGTCCAGTGGAGCAAATCTGAAACCAGATTTGAAGAAGCATGGAGCACTTGCAAGTGAAATGAAGTTCAATAGGGGTCCAGGACTGCAGGCATTTGAATAAGCAGCATCACAGAGCTGAAATATCTTGTTCTCCAGTCCTGTCTCTTGCTGTTGGCCCTTTACAGCCATACAATTTTTCTATCTGATTTTTCAAGCTATACAATGATACAGAATATCCTCCTAGCCCCTTCTCCCCTTTCAGATCAGCATGTATTGCAAAACTGAGACAATGCACTTCGATAGTTCTGCATGCCCCTGGAAGTAAGGGGAAGGGAAGATTTTGCTGCTCAGGTTTGTGTGAGTACTGTGCCACAGATATCAGTATCAAACGGGAACCACTACAGAATCGGGGATGTGCATCCTGGGGGTGAATGCTAAAGCTGCTCTTCAGTTGAGGTTTCAAGGGCAAGCCACTGCCTGTGGCAAAGTACCACTTCTGGGGCAAAGAGCCCGCTCACAGCGGTGCAGAACCCTTGTCATGGCAGAGGCCCTGGTGCCCACTTCCCTGGCACACGTGAGAGGACCCATGATGTCCAGAAGTGACCTTCTGCATAAACCCTTAAGGAGTCAGAAGAGAGAAGCTAACGTTGTTAGCTCACTCTGTTTAGACCTTAATTTCTTGAAGAGATAACGGTGTCTGCAGTGAGGCCTTCACATGGAGGCCTTCCTCTCTGTTCCAGTAATAATAACAGACTGACAGCCTGGCAGATAAGACTCAGGAATTATATCACATTGCACACTTTGATGGACTTCAAGGATGTACAAGAAGAGACTGAGACAACTGGGTGTGCTCAGTCCTGAGAAGACTAAAGGTAGGGGGAGGGGGGGATTGTGTCGCTATCTTTTACTTCTCAGTTGGAGGGAATAGAGAAGATGCAGCCCAACTTCTCAGATGTGTGCAGTAAAAGGATGAAAAACAATGGGCACAAGTTGCAATGAGGAAAATTCCAGCTAGAAATTAGAAGAAAATATGCACCAGAGGGTGGTCAGACACTGCAGCAGAGGGTTTTTGAAACCTCTGTCCTTAGAGATATTCAGAGCTTGACTGGGCAAGATCCTGAGCAACCTCATCTGATCTGACACTGCTTTGAGAAGAGGTTGGGTCAGAGACCTCCAGAGGCTGCTTTCAATCTATATTGCTGGGGGGACATCACAGAATAACAAAATAAGAATGACACATCAGATCTGTACCCTGCTGTACTGGTGTGTTGCCATGGTCAACTACCATGGAGCTGCAGAGGCAGGACCTCTATCTCTGTGAAAGAGGCTGTAGAAAGCATTTTCTGAGGGAAATAGAAAGCTGTTTGGTGAATAAGCTTAAAAGAAGAGCTCACAGTATTCAACCAGGCTGAGTCTATTGAACAAGCCCATCCTACAACTTTTCTAAGATTTTGGAATTTTTCTACAATCTGCATTAAGTCTGTGTCAATACGTACCAAAGTGTCATGCGCCCTTGTCTACACTCTGTCCCGCTTTCTGTATTTGATTGTTGTGAACATCTCCGATGCAAATTCAAGCAAGGTCAAATCTTCCCAAAAAATCATGCTCAAAGAGATTATAAACATGTGGGTTAAGAACTAATCAAACCCTGCCGCATCCCATCATTGCGGGAGGATGTAGCAAAGACAGAGATCCAGTCTATTTACAAGGGTAGTTTATCTATAAAATGGAATCAAATATAAACATTTTCCTTTGGCATATGGTGCAAATTTCTATAGCCTTTAAATATATAATTCACTCATCAATTTCAGCTGGGGAAACACAGTTTTATCTAACACTAAGGGAAAATGAGACTAAACGTTTGTTTCTCATTAATTGTCCAACTCGTGTGTTGTCTAATATAGCAAAGAATGCTATAAGGAAGTCTTCGTGATCTTGAAGATCATGTAAGAATAATTTACTATCACTTTCTCCCTTCTACCAGAAGAATTCTGGTACTACTGAAATAAGAGATATCTTCTTTGTCAGGTTTGAATACACAGAAACATTGAGGCCAGTTAAGGTGATTGTCTTCATGCCTTGGTTAAAGTGTCTTAAAACTGTTTCCCACTCTGAGAAGTTGTGTTTATTCAGAGTTTGATTCAGTGGCAGCTGTCCAAAAGTTAATTATTTAAGTCTTGTTGCCTCTTGTCAATGTGTAACCAGAAGAGTGGAAAATGTTTCCAGGTAGGAACAGTGTCTTCCACCCTGAAGGGCAGAAGCTTTCCTTGAGTAAAACCACACTTCAAAGTACAGACACTTTCCCAAAGCTGCCACCATTTAGGCATTTTGACCTTACAGGCATATTTTAGAAATAAATGTATTAATTTTCATGGCTTTTTGGTCATAACTACTCTATGTTTAGACAGCAGAAGGTCTAATTAAATATTGAGCATGTCTTTGCTTTTCCCTGCTTCAGTTATCATCGGTCTGGGCAACAGGGCAGACTCCAAAAACCCCTTTTCTAAATCAGACTTATTTTCAGGACAAAAGGATCTGTTCTCCTCTTACTCACAGATAGCTTCTTTTGCCTAATTGCCCAATTAAACATTTACCTCTGTAAAACTATATTTTATCCTACCTAAAACTTCCATAGTCTGCAATGTTGTGGCATTTATTCATTGCAGTACCATGATACTGTTTGTTCTCAATGCTGCTGGGAATTTTTGCTTCACTATTTCTCTCTTACTGTCTTCTCATCTCCACTCCACCCCCCCAATCCCTTTTTCTCCTTGTGACAAGGCTAAGAAAATGCGTTCTCGTAACACCAGCCAGCCATTGCCCCAAAGTACTTTTTTCACAGTAAGCACTAATAAAGCTGGAAGATTACAAAGTTCCTGGACCAGCGGATTAGAGACAATGCTGGACCACTGGATTGCACAGATACTAAGCTATCCACTTAGTCCATGTATAGCAATTCTCAAACACAGGCCAAAAGTTACAAGCTTTGATTTTTCTAAAATGATACTCTTAGACATGCAGCCCATTCTACAGCAAAATATCAGATTGTGAAGGCCTTCTTTTACGATAAAGTCAAGTAAAAGAAGACAACATAGTTAAAAAATTACTATGCCTTGACACAGAATGCAGTAAACATTTTAGATGCTGCTAAATTATGTTTTAGTCTGCAAATCCCAGACCTGTGCAACAGCTCTGAATTTCTTTGGGTTGCTCCTCGTGGTCAGGGGTCTGGTGGGCCTTGCCTTTGTTGCTCATTGACACTGTTCTGGGGCGTACAGTCCATTCCAGCATCTGCCTCCGTGTCCTTTAGGGAACACCAGAGCCAGTCTTGCTTGCAGCACAGAGGAACTGTCAGTCCACCCAGCAACCTTACACATGACCGTCCAGAAGAAACAGAAAGTGAAAATGTTGTCTCTAGGTGAGACTACAGGAAGCACCAGCAGGTCCACACTTTGAGCAAACTGCTGCTGTCTGATACTGACACCCACAAGCAGGAGTTCAGATGAAGACAGCAGCAATAAATCTCCCTGCAGTCCCCTATGCAGCACTCATATTCTTGTATAAAGCACTACCCCTGCTAAACTTGGTCATTCTAATAGGTGAGCTTGGTGTGGGAAAGTGTTTTCTATCCCAAGAATGTGTTGTCTGTTTTTATAATGCCTCTTTAAGGCATTTCATTTCCTTTCTAATGGTAAAAAGGAAGCAGTGTTTCAAAGAACACTGGTTGCAGCAGCAGGCTTTGGTCAGTTGTTTTTCCTTGCCAAATGCATGTACTGACCAAAATTAATTTGCAGCAACTTCTGATAAGAACACACAATGTCAAGGTCCTGTCTGAGAGAAGTCAAGGAAAGGAGCACTGATAACAAGTTTTTTAAAGCTTTGTTGTGGTAAGGGAAGGATTTCCAAGGACTCTGATAGAAATGGTTGCCAAAACCTTGTCATCTGTGTCAGCTAGAAACTTTTCTCCTCCAATGGAAATGGTTTTGCTTTCCTCCTGTTACTTGCAGGCCCAGTTTTCCTCTAAAAAAAAAAAAAAAAAGAGTAATAATGTGGGGCTGCTGCTTCTATAGCTTTTATTCAGGGTTCTTTTTAATGAGTGAACAAAATTCATGGCAGAATCAAACGGGAAGTTTAGGAGTTAGTTGCAGGAATACAAGTAAAGCGTTTTTAGAGATCCATTCCAGCTGTGCCTGAAGTTAGCGATCCCCTTTCCAGTGATTTTAGCCTAATTAGTTGGTTTGCTGGGCTCCTTTGTAACTTCCTTCTCACTTAAGGCAGCTACCTATTTATCATCTTGCTTCAGTAGGGATGTCTTCAGATCCCCGTGTGTGTGTGAGAGAGAGAGAGAACATACAGTGTGTCCTGACAGTACACAAAGACCCTGTAAGGCAGTGCAGTTATTAGAAGCTTCAGGCTAACGCCAACACTCTGCTCTGAGTTCTCACACTAGGAAAGAGTTTTGCTAGAACTGGAGTGGAATACTAGGGAGAAACTCCTGGACATTTTCCCTGTATTTTGAAGATGTAAAAAGTAATGACACAGTTCACTGCAAAGGCACATACAGCCAGCCACAGCCTTCTTGTAACTAGGTACTCTCACACCAGACATTTCAGAAGAGAATCTTTTTCTCCTGTGGCTTTAATTTAACTTTAATGGTACATTAGACTGTTTCATCACTTCAGATGCCTCAACTATACTGAACAAATACAAATTCCCAGGGGCTAGTTTTTGATCTTGCACAGAGAGAGAAACCCATGCTCTAATGGGGGAGCCCAGTATCCAAAAAACATTACAGCAGTAGAGTCCACTGCTCAAACCATTCTAAACAGCTGCTATTTACATTTAATTTTAATGCTCTTTAACTTCATATTAACAGTGTATTACACAAGCAAGCACAGCTACAGAGAATTATCAGCATGAGGGTTTACCCTCCACGGATTCAGGCACACAGGACCACATCTAGGCTCAGACCTGGCCACATCCAAAGCTTTCCTCTTTGAGAGGGGAGTGGTAGAAGCACCACATTTGTTTGCAGCAAAGGAGGCATGCAAGAGGGTGGGGAAACAAAAGGACCGAGGTGGTGCTCTGCCGTATATAAATACAGGAAAATCTCCCCCAGAGTCTTTTGTGTGACAGAGAGGTGGAAGCAAGGATTAAGGCAGACTTTTGTGGGGTTGGTTTGGCATTACAGTTGATTTTGAGCTTTTTCACATTTGTTAGTTTCTTTAGTTTGTAATGGTTGGTAAATAATTTTTTTCTTTGCATGGAAAAACCATAGACTAGTTCTGAATAGTAATAGCTAGCAGAAGTAAGACATGCTTTAAAAATTATTGCTTAATGTAGGAATTAGAGGAACACCCTTTGATTTGTTAAGACTCCAGAGGTTGATGCTGTGTGTTCATTTCCTCAGGCAGGACGTGAACCGGCCGGTCCAAGCTCAAGAGACAGACAGTTTGCCACCGAGGAGCAACCCAGAGCAATGTCCCTGGCTGGGGTAAGCTGTCTGGTGACAGGAGCAGGAGGATTTCTTGGCCAGAGGATTGTCCGCTTGCTGTTGGAAGAAGAGGAGGCGCTGGCTGAGATCCGGCTGCTGGACAAAGCCTTTAGCAGTGAAGCCCTTAGGAGATTTGGAAGTAAGTACAATTTCATGAGAACTGTATGTTGTGGGCATATGTGCTGTTGTCTCATGTAGATAGCATGGAAATCTTTACCTCTCATCCAAACCAGCTTTGAAGATAGAGGTTTTATTACAGTGAAGTTTTGCTTTATACTTCCCTCTCCCTCCAGCACAGAAATCAGATGTAAATGAAAAGTAAGTGCTTTCTTTGCCAGATCCTGAGGCTTCTCTAGATTTTAAGAGACCTATATACTGTTCATGAAGTAAACAGGCTGCCTTCAACCTGCCTTCTATTACGTGAAAACCCATAGAGCAAAATGAGTGCAAAAATCTCACACTTGTCGTGGGGAAGGAAAACGCAAGTATTGCTATACTGGGAGTGGGGGTCAGAGTAACCCAGAGCGTACTATCCTGAGCTCTGACACGCTAGACTGGAAGGCAGTGGCAAAGTTGTGGGTGCAAATACTAACATTTTTTTTTTTAACCTGTGATTAGTTTGGTTAATAGTGATCTTCTGGCTGAGCGTTGTCATGAGGTATCTTTAAAATTTGTTGTCGTTAATATTATCACAGTTTGATGGAGAGCAGAACCTTTTTTTTGTCATGCACAGAAAAGACAGGACCCATTTGCAGAGGGCAAGTCAGGACTCTGGCTCCTTGAATGGACTGGAGACAGCACAAATGAGTGATATGCCTAGTGTCAGAAACTGTCTGGCGGGGAAAGCAGCTCAGAGCACTATATTTTAAATGTCCCATTTCCTGGGAACCTGAGCACATCTATTAAAACTCATGTAGGAACCTAAATTCAATCAAGTTCTTAAGCACATTTATTTGACAATACTTTCCTTCATCACATCTTAACCTCAAGACTATTCTTCCTCTATACAGGCAACTGTATGGGAACCCTTAAGGAATATCCCCATACAGCTTGCTAAAGAGCCATAATCTTTCTATAAAGCATTTAAGTGTCATCAAAGAATAGTAACAGTTCACCATGAACCTGGTGCAAATTGCACAAGCCTTTAGGATGGTTTTATAAAACTCTTCCTCCTCATTAAATCTCATTCAGCATTTCACTGAATATTTGCTAGATGCCCTTGAGCCTTGCCTGTTTGGATTTCCAGGCAGTTCCCACACCAACAAAACTTCCAGCTGCAGTAGAGGCTGAACCGGTTGCAGTATCAAGTGTGTGTGGTTTAGCACTGATACAGCAGGGCAGCAAGAGAATCATCTCGCTGCTTCGGGCCGGGAGAGCTTTGTGAGGATGATGGAGCTTCCCGGGGAGTGAAAGCAACTGTTTGTGTGAGTACAGTCACGTCTGGGATGCGGCAAAGGTTTCACTGTTCTTTTTTTGTTAATAGGGAAGCTCTGTGCCCTCTTTCCTCAGGCTCCCTCCTTCCTTCACTGAACACTGCCCAGACAGCCCCTCTCCTATTCTTGCAACACTCCTGCTGCCTATCTGACGAGCACAGGAGGAAAGGCAAAATCACTTATCAGAGGTTTTTTTTTTCACGGACAGGTAGTAGGAACAACACGCTGGCATTTCAGATGTGTGTGAACTGCCTTGAGGCCCTGCACTTTGACTGGCAGTGCCCCTGTCTGTATCAGCCTCTACAGCTACATCTCTTCAAGTGTCCTGTCAATGCCTGTGCTTGGCACTATCCAAAATACTTTTCTGCCATTCCCTTTCAAGCCCTTCTCTAGCATAGTGGCTTATATTCCAAATCCAGGACTTCTGCAAAAACTGTGGACCTGGAGTCTTCTGACCCGTTTTATTTTTACTGCAGGGACTTCTACCTGCTAGCATATATTGTTTGGATTTCTTGAATAGTCGGGAGCAGAGCTGGTATTCTTTCTCACTAAGCTCCTGAGTACCTTTTGCTTGCAATATCTTTGCAGAGTAGGACATGGGAGTACATGCAAGTTACAGCTCTTTGTGCCAGGAGACACTCAGGGACACTCTTCTTTTGTCCAAACCACTTTCAGGCTGAGACCTTGTTCATCCCACTCAGTTTGCATAAAACAGTAGCATTTGCAGTTGTCCACAGCCCTAGGGAGTCCAGGATGATCCAATCAATGTCAAATGCTATGAGTTGGAGTCTACCCAGTTACACTGTGTGGTTGAGAATGAACATCATGTTGAACAGGGTGGTTTGGTGCCTTGGGTTTCCTACCTCCCATCTCCACTTCAAATTTATGTTTCTGCCTTTCCTGGGCTTCCACTTATGCAATTCTTTTTTTGTTCAGTACTGCACTGGCACTTCTGGAAAAGTTGGAAACTCCTAGATTGTTCTCAAGAGGATTGCTCAATATTTCAAAGCACTGACTCCCCCTTCTCTCATCCCTCTGTATATCTCCCCTCTCTCCCCCTGAACCCTCATTTCAAGTCATTTTTCAGAGACAGACATTTATGGATTGTGTGATGCTTGAGCACTGAGTGTTTTTGCACTGCTAACCCAGCACTGATCCTTAGAAGGAAAGTAGAGGGAGAAGGAATGTTTGGGGGTTTTTTAACCCAGGATTTGTGGTGTGGGAAAGTTCCTGCTCCGGGAAACTTTCTTCTGGCTTTTTGCTCAATGTTGCAGATATCCATTTGCCTTTATCACTGCATTGAAAACTGAAAGCCAGAGTAGCAACAGAACATCCCAGTAGCTGAGATGGAAACAAAATAAACATTTCAGCTTCTCTGGGCTAAAGAAGCGAATAAATTGCTTTACCCTTTACAAATGAATATAAGATGAAGTTTGTAATTTTTGTCCATGAATAAACAAAGTAGACCATTTTAATGAACCATGTAGTTAACTAGGAAAGTGGAGATCTCTCATGAGGAGTGCCTTTCCCCACCACCCACCCCACAACTGGTAGGACCTCTATTAAAGAGCACTAAGAAATTCAAGTGAAGTCCCACAGACATTGCTGTTTGCTTGAACTTTAAACAACACATAGAAAAGAGAGACAGTTTAGGGCAAATATTCTTGCTGGATTGTTGAGTCAGACATGCTCACAACAGGACACTGAATATCATTGACTAATCTTTGCATTTCCAATCAAAAACTACCCCGTAGCAAGCAGGAAGCATTGCTTACATCTCAGAGGACACAGAAACCATTGGTGAAGTAGAAGAAGCTTTCCCAGTGGGAAGGTACTATCTCATAAATCATGGTATGCAAAAAGGGATATATGAGTTGAATTTATTCTTTTTATTCTTTTCCTCCCTCTTCCACCTGACACATATGTGCTTTTTTGATGTCTGGGCAATGTTTTGTGCAGATGGAAATCGAGTTTCTCAGTTTCAGGTCCATCTCAGAGTGAAAACAGTGTCTGTCAGTCATTTCTTCTTTCCTCTCTCTGCTTCTAAGCTCACCTGTAGTTTTCCTTTTCTCTCAGAGCAAAACAAGATAATTCTGATGATTCCTGACATCTAGCTAATGCCTTATATCACACACACAATTTAAATTTCAAGCCCAAACAATGCACAAAGCACCTAGACAGCAGCTTTCTAGTAACTGACACCAACTCTCCCTGTGATCAGCTTTAAAAGGGACAAGTTTCTTTTTTATTTTTTCTGAAAACTTTGATTTGTATGTGTAAAAACTTCCATTTTTTTAACTCCTGCCCAGGCACAGTGACCATTCTGAAGGGGCCACATGTCAGAATTTACATTGTGGAAAGCATGTATTTCAATCCTTTGGATTACTGCAGCCCCACAAACCCTTACTCGTGGAGAACATCAACCTAAGGGCTGTACAAAGACTGTTTATTAGAGCAAGTCTAGCTGCCAGGTGCTTAACAAAAAGCCTAGCTTCATAGCACAACATTTTTGCATCCATACAAGTAGAGGTCAGTGTAAACCTTCTGGAAATGGAGCCCTAGGAAATGAATTAATGCACTCAGTAAAATAAAAGAACATAAGAGAGCATGTGCCAGAGACTGTGCTGGGAAGGCAGTAGCTCTAGATTTAGTAATAGTTTTATAAGTGTTTCACAAATTTCACATCTCAGACCAACTGTCTGTGATGAAAAAAAAAAAAAAGACCCTCAAGCTTATTGCATCACAGAATCAGAGTCACAGAATTGGCTAGGTTGGAAAAGACCTTGAAGATCATCCAGTCCAACCATCAGCACAACCTTAACAGTTCCCAACTACACCAGGGGCTAAGTCGAATCTACTCTTAAACACCTCCAGGGATGGAGACTCCACCATCTCCCTGGGCAGCCCATTCCAACACCCAACAACCACTTCTGCAAAGAAATGCTTTCTAATATCTACTCTAAACCTTCTCTGGTGCAGTTTGAGGCCATTACCTCTTGTTCTATTGCTTATTACTTGGTTCAAGACACTCATCCCCCCCTCTCTGCATCCTCCTTTCAGGGAGCTGTAGAGGTTGATGTGGTCTCCCCTCAGCCTCCTCTTCTCCAGACTAAACCCCCCCAGTTCCCTCAGCCGCTCCCCATCAGACCTGTGCTCCAGACCCTGCACCAGCTCCGTTGCCCTTCTCTGGACACGCTCGAGTCATTCAATGGCCTTTTTGGGGTGAGGGGCCCAAAACTGAACCCAGGAATTGAGGTGCAGCCTCAGCAGTGCCGAGTACAGGGGTCAGATCCCTTCCCTGTCCCTGCTGGCCACGCTATTGCTGACACAAGCCAGGATGCCATTGGCCTTCTTGGCCACCTGGGCACACTGCTGGCTCCTGTTCAGCCGGCTGTCAATCACCCTCCCAGGTCCCTCTCTGACTGGCAGCTCTCCAGCCACTCCTCCCCAAGCCTGTAGCGCTGCTGGGGGTTGTTGTGGCCCAAGGGCAGCCCCCAGCATTTGGCCTTATTGAAACTCCTCCAGTTGGCCTCAGCCCATGGCTCCAGCCTGGCCAGGTCTCTCTGCAGAGCCTCCCTACCCTCCAGCAGATCAACACTCCCACCCAACTGGGTGTCAGCTGCAAAATGACTGAGGGTGCACTCGGTCCCCTTGTCTAGATCATCAATAAAGATGTTAAACAGGAGTGGCCCCAACACCCAGCCCTGGGGGACACCACTCGTGACCAGCCGCCAGCTGGATTTAACTCTGTTCACCACAACTCTCTGGGCCCGGCCATCCAGACAGTCTTTTACTCACCAAAGCGTGTGCCCATCCAAGCCACAATCAGCCAGTTTTGCCAGGAGAATGCTGTGGGAAACGGTGTCAAAAGCCTTGCTAAAGTCAAGGTAAATTACATCCACAGCCTTTCCCTCATCCAATAAGCAGGTCACCCTGTTGTAGAAGGAGATCAGGTTTGTCAAGCAGGACCTGCCTTTCATAAACCCACACTGACTGGGCCTGAGCATCTGGTTGTCCCGCATGTGTTGTATGATGGCACTCAGGATGAGCTGCTCCATCAGCTTCCCAGGCACCAAAGTCAAGCTGACAAGCCTGTAATTTCCCGGATCATCCTTCCAACCTTCTTATAGACGGGTGTCACATTGGCCAATTTCCAATCAGTCGAGACCTCCCTGGTCAGCCAGGACTGCTGGTAAATGATGGAAAGTGGCCTGGCGAGCACCCCAGCCAGCTCCTTCAGCACCCTCGGGTGTATCCCATCCGGTCCCATAGACTTGTGTGTCTGTGTGATGCAGCAGGTCACTGACTGTCTCCTCCTGGAATGTGGGGGAGGTGGGGGGTGGTGTGTGTGTGTCATTCTCCCAGTCACTGTATTCTGGCTGTGGAGGGTGGATTCCCTCAGTACAACTAGTCTTGCTATTAAAGACTGAGGCAAAGAAGGCATTAAGCACCTCAAACTTTTCCTCATCACTTGTTACCATGTTTTCTTCTGCATCTAGGAGCAGATGGAGGCTCTCCCTGGTCTTTCTTTTGCTGCTCACATACTTAGAGAAACATTTCTTGTTGTCTTTGATTGCTGAAGACAGAATAATTTCTAGCTGGGCTTTAGACCTCCTGATTTCCACCCCGCATAGCCTCACAGCATCTTTGTAATCACTGTGAGTGGTTACAGAATAATTGTTAAATGAATACATGATTACATTCTAGCGTGCTATAGATACAAAGAGATAAAACCAAAGACAATTCCAGATCCTAGCAGCTGTCTCTCTTAAATATTTCTCCATTAAAGACATGTGATGAAATACTGCCTGCTTTGGAGCTGGTGACTAAGCACTAGGAGGATACATGAGATTTCAGTGGCGGCTGAGGTTAAAAGCTGTATAGATCAATCAGGTTCTTCTCTTATCTAAAATGGGCATTTGATTATGCTGGGAGGAGATGGAGGCTCTGCCAGTGCTGCAGAGCCCCTTTCCCGTCGCTGCGCCTGGGGGGCCCTCTAGCGCAGCCACCACACAAGCTCACAGGAGGACTTGCTGTGACACCACCTCCTTAGAAGTTGTAGATCGTGCCAAGAAAGTGTTTTCCTCCCCCATGGCATAGCTGCAGCCAGTCCAGCAGATTCCCAGGAGAGCAACATTGCCTTGGACTATAAATTTCTCCAGGTGATCATGTTGTCCTGGCTCAATTTTGTTTGTGTAGTTCTGGGCTGTATGAACGATGCTTCTGCCCAGGATGGCTCCGAGACCTAGAGCTCCACCAGGGTCACACACATTAGCCGCTGGGGTGGGAAAGCACTTAAAAAGCCGGAGTTAAAGCAATTCAGAGTTGAGGTAGCTCTGGAGAACAGTCTTGAGAGTTCAGGTTTGGACCAGAAAGTTGTACATGCTAAAAATGACCCCACAGCACAGACACTGAAATGAAGCCACAGTTGGGTTTAGAAGAGGAACAGTAAGCCCTGGCTGAGGTACATAAAAAAGATGTGTCAGAACTGTAATGTGTTAGAAGAGCTGCAATATGGGCAAGGTCAAGGAGCAGAAAATAGGTGTGAACACAGCTCTGTGCACACATGCTGTGGGTGGAGGAAGATCATTCATCACCTTGAAGACAGAAGCATGCAGTGCCTGGCTGTTTGGTATACTTCGGTTAACACTTTCATAAATAGCCAGTATGAGAATGTGGCGGATGAAAGTATTGACACGGTAATGATTTAGGAAAATAATCCAGATTTATTAATAACTAAGAAGTATTTGTCAATACAAAATAACTCAGAAAGAAAAGCAACTTATTCAGGTTCTAAAATGACAAGATTCACTCTAACTTACTTAACGGTACCTTAACTTATACACATATGTACATGTGCATACACAAACCAGACATTTACATACAGAAACAAAGGGGTTTGGATTCGGTAAAATGAACACAAAGGGACAAGCACACAGGAACAAGGGTAAGGGTACGTACCCCCCCCCCACACACACACACACACACT